TATCTTTTCTTCTTTACACCATTTATTTTTATCATGGGTATTTTACCCGTCCATCGCCACTTCCCGGACCATTTCCACTTCCATTAATTGGTAATATGCACCAAATATTAACTTATCCTGGTGACTTGATATCATGGTCTAGTCGCATGCATAAAATATATGGTGACATTTACGAAGTTTATATAGCTCGTGAACGATGTATTTGGGTATGTCGAGGAGATCTTTGTGAAGCAATTTACAATTCACCAAATAAATTCCTTCTTCGTACGACTCCAAATAACGGGTTGGATGAAATTGGTGTTTCTAAGATTGGATTATCATTTAATAGAAATTGGGAACTTTGGAAATATTTTAGAGGAATTGTAACAAAATCATTAACAAAACAGAAATTTTTAAAAGATTCGTTAGAGTATATTCAGGTTTTTTGGGAAGAAATGGAAGGTTATTTGAATGAAATTGAAAATTTGGATGATGATAATAAAAAAATACTTGATTTTTCGAAATGGATAGCCTGTTCATCAACTGATTTGACATTTTTCCTGACCACTCGTCAGAATGTTCATTCATTGATAAACTATTATTCTACCCTTAATCAAAACTTTTTACAAAATACTCCAAAAAGTATTTTGGAATCTCCTGAAGATTTTATAGAGAACATTACATTCTATCTTGAAAGCTGGTTATTTTTTGCCTTTACGCCAAAGTTTATTAGAATGCTTCCGAGTTTTAAAAAACGTGTAAAGTTTTATTATGAAAGAAGAACCTCACTAAGAAAAGATATACAAAAAATTATTCAGAAAAGGAGGGAGGAGATTGATAATGTAAATGCTGAGGAGAATGATAAGATAAAAAATCAAGACAATGATGATGAATTAAGTTCAGATTTATTAACAGCGATACTCACGATGAATACAAACAGAAATATTAAAAGTGTCGAAGATAATGAGAATAATATGTACAATAAGCATATGACTGATGATGAAATTACAGGACTTTTACTTGATGTCGTTGCTGGTGGCGTTGAAACGGTAATGTTGAAAATTTATCAAGTTGCATGTTACTGTGAATGGAACGTATACATTCTAACATCCTTTTTAAATTGGGTTCTTTAATCATATATTTAAAGGTACCAAGCGCGATTTGTTATATAATATATTATATTGAACATCATCCAGAAGTAAAGAAACGTATGCTAAATGAATTGGATCAAACATTTGGATCTGGTTCCGACTATAAAATTGAGTTGGATGCTGTAAATCAACTCAAATATTGTGAAGCAATTATTAAAGAAGGTATGAACATAAAATTATTTTGTAAAAAAAGTTTATTCGAAAGTTTTCATTTGTGTGAACTCTGTTCGATTTATGATTAATTCGATTGATTTATTGATGGGCTAATTTATTATACGAAATTAATATTTTTATAACTTTTTTCTTTTTTTTTAATAACAACGATAAACCTATTGAAAATGCCGCATTATATATAGTAATGCGTGTATACTCAATAACGTCGTCGAATTTCAGAATGTCAAATGAACCTTGCGAAATTGGTGGCTACCCTTTCCCAAAATTTACACAATTTTTAATTAATGCTTCAGTTATAAATTCCCATCATGCTCATTGGACGAATCCTGATGAATTTAATCCTGAAAGATTTCTTCAATCTAATCAATATTTTCAAGCTTTCGGAGGTGGGCTAAGAATATGTCCTGGAAAGAACTTTGCGATGATGCAAATGAAGACCTATATAGTATTATTGTATCGACGGTGGGCAGTAGAATTGGTAGATATGAGTGCACCAATAAAAAGTCACTACGCTACTACCAAGAGCTGTCAACAGTTGGAGGTTAGGATTCGGAGGAAAAAATTTCCTTAAATATATTTTTTTTAATTGGAGGATTTTTTTATTTTTATTATCATAAAATCTTCTTCCATATTATAAAAACTACACATATAAATAAGTAAACAATAATAAACATTGTCATTACTGTATATACTAAAATTTAAAAACAAGTTACCCAAGTTATCTAGATTCCTTAGGTTACCTGATAATAGTGTTTTAGCTTAAACCATTTACAAAGTCCAAATGTTTCGCCTTGTTTCAAAATCTGAAATTTTTGAAATTGATGAAACCTTAGAAATTAACCTCTGAAACTGGGAACTTCCGAAATATTTCAAGCCAAAATTAAGGAAAAATCAAACTTGGACATTAAAATTTGTTACGTTTCAGAATTAGCCACTAAAAATATGGTTAGAAACGTATGATACTATATGCAATTAAAATCTCATGTACCATTAGTATTCTTGTGGCATTTGTTTCTTTAGTTGTCAAAAAATTTTTTAATCGCTTTATTGATTAGACTTTTAGGGCTAAAGCCCAAAACATGTTTTTTCTTGATAAAAAAATTTTTATTCGGTTTATTGATTAAATTTTTAGGGCTAAACCCAAACATGATTTTTTCTTGACAACATTCTTTTATATAAAAGATTCATGAAATTTGTCTTTTACAATTCTTGCAGATAAATAATTTAGGATTATAAAATTATAGTTACATAGCAAGAACTTATACTAGCAATACATTATATATTTAATGCTATTAAAACTTGTTTATTAGCTTGACTGCAGTAATAATTTATACCAGAACGGAGCGATATGTAGATATCTCAAAAAATCTTATACGTACGTACGTACCTCATTAGATGATACATGTACGTTCGTAAGTACATACGTAATTACTATGTAACAAGGTATATAACAATAATCAAAATTACAGATCATTTAACCATGACAGAGACCTTTGAGCCAAATGCTTAAGTGACTGTATATTTATAAATCTGTTATGATATATGATTCTGTTTGAAAGAACTGTTGTATTAACGTAATACATAATATACAATATTTAACAAAAATATATATAAACTTTATTTTTTCTTTTTAATAAAGATCATTCTAAGCATAGAATCGTTATAAGCATATTTTCTAATGCTTGATATAGTTTTAGTTTGTTTTGAAGACAAAAGTAATAGCAAAATTCTTTGTACCTATTTAACTTTCTTAATATATCGTTAAACATTATAGAAAGTAAACGTTTGTGATATTATATAAGGTTATTATCGTTTAAACAATAACTAAAGAAACTAGAAAGTTTAAGGAATATGAACCTGTATAGTAGATAGATATTCCTATGTCCAACGAAAGGGTTACTATCAAAACTGCTTAATTTACTGACATTATTGTCAGAATGAACTAGAAGAACATTATAAAAAATTTTTGTGATGAAATCAATTATTTATAACAAGTGATCGAGGATTGCACTGCTGGATAAAAACTGATTATTTTAATTTTAAAACTTTTTCAGGGAATCGTACTTGATGATTTTAGGTTTAAACCTTTTTTTGGATTTCGACAATTATCATGCTCTACAGAAATTTCGGAGGTTTCGGAGGCTCGGTGGCAAAGGTTTTGCCTGAGCGAAGGTTCTAATCATATTACAACTATAGATCAGTGTTGTCACTTGGCTATTTAGCCAGCAAATGGCCGAATTGGAAAAAAAATTTATTCAGGCCAAATATAAAAAAGCTAGCAATGTGATCGGTTAAATGTTATATAAATTAGAACTTTCGGTCGAAGTTTGGCTACTGGCTGTTGTCTGTTGACTATTTTTGTCTGCCAAAGGCAAAAAAATTGGTTGGTCACAAGAAATTTCCAACTGTTATAAATTGTGGTAGAGTTCAAAAATAGAAATTAATTTTTATTCAGTATCGGTATTAAAATTTCCATTTTTTAATTATACACCATTGCTATAACTAATTTAAGTGGAATATAAGTTACGTGCAATCATACCTTTTAAGTTAATGTGAATACTCGGAACCTCGGAGAATAAAAAAATTGACGTATAAAATAAAATTCATTTCGAATAATTTAAACAAAATTGTCGAAACAATGAGAATTTAATCCATCTTTTTATAGAAAAGCCCCCACTAAACACAGAACTATTTGTACATGCCGATCTCCGGTGTGAGCCAAGATATTCAATAATGTTACGTACGTACGTACTAGTGCTGCACGTATGCATATGGCTATGAAGGATACATTCGTATAAAAAGAAATTTAGTTAGTAAATGCTCATTATCTCATATTCATTTATCATTATAATAATCATTATAGTTTTATTTTATATCCTTTAAAAGAAAAACGGAAAATTGATAGCATAAACTAATAATTTGCAAATAATGTTTTTTCTTTTATAGGACTATTCCTGCAGTGGAATTCTGCGGAGAATGCCCATAGTTACTTTTTGTGATATACAATATAAGCTTAAATATATATGAATCATTTTGTTCCGATTCTTGTGATTTTAAAGTTATCATTTTTAGTTGATAGATAGAAAAATATGGAAATATAACATTAAAAGTTTAAACTTTGTGCCTTCGTTAAATAAATATATATATAGCAAGGTGACTGTCCTAATTTTCCTTAGATTTTATACAAAAAAAAACGCATTCCTTTTTTCACTTTGAAAATTTATTCACCATACTTATTTTTCTTTTTTTATTGATAACATTTATAAATCAATGTCCTCAAAAATTCTTTTCACATTTTTAATTTTATTAATTTATTTTTCTAAAGATGGGTTTTCTTCTAATGATGGCACTGAAACATGCGTAGGAAATTTAACAAGGCGTTACATACCACGTACTGATCCATTGGGTAGGTTTTTAATTAATATGGTTTACACTAAAAATCTTAATTTCCTATTTAAAATTTTTCATTATTCATTGAAAATTTCGGTTCTATTGTAAAAAATAAAAAGGATGTTATGTTTTTAATGGCTCCAATATCGATGGTTTTGATGGTCTTAAAAGTATAGGACTTTCCGATCCATACAAAGATAGAGATGGTAATATTATGGATCCTGGATTATGTATATTTCATTGTGCAAACTATGGGTTTGCATATTCAGGCTTAAGAAAGGGTGGAAGCTGTCGCTGCGGAGGATCCACTGCCCTTATAACGTATACCAAATTAAATGATACTTTAAGTAAAACGGTCTGCAATTTAACTTGCGTTGGAAATTCAAGTTATATATGCGGAGGTGATGAAGGTTACACTATTTATCAAGAACCAATTCCAATCGATAAACAACCACAAATAAGTGCAGCAGAAAAAGTCTCAATTATTCGTAACCTCAAAAATAATAAAGCATATAATGGGTGTATTAGAGATTCTCCATACTGTAACCAAAGAGCCTTAAATGGTTCAAAAAAAGAATTCAGCAGTTTAAGTGTTGATGATTGCATAACTTTCTGCAAGAATAATAATTATAAATATGCTGGATTAGAAATTGGTACTGTATACGCATTGAAACTTCTTAAATTTGTGCTAGGTTTTTGAAGCAGGTTTCCTGTTCTGATATTCAAAGCACGCGTCCGTTTTATCAAAAATACCTTTCCTTGTGCATATACTTTATTGATACCTAAATATTAACCATTAACACCAATGAACTTTAAAGAATTTTAACTGCTTCACAAACCTCACGTTTCAGACGTGTATAACATTATAATAACGAACTTAAAAACTTTGTTTGTCGCAGGTTCACAGTGTTTTTGCGACAATAGTTTCGACAGCTTAAATATGCTTAATCCAGAAGAATGTAGCTCTAGTTGTATTGGAAATAAATCTGAGCTGTGCGGTGGCCCACTCGCGTTATCAATATACAGTGTACCCCCGGATCCTCCGGAGGACAATCGCCTTAGTGAGTATAAATTCCATACTACTTTATTTTCAAAATTAATTTGTACAAAGTGTAATAATTAATCAAAATTAATGTTATTAAATTAATTAATGATAATAGAAATCGGACTTGGTGTTGGAATTCCTCTATTCGTAGCTGCTGCCTTGTTATTGTATTGCATTTATAAGAGGAGATAACGCAAAAATAATGATGAAAAAAAAACTAGCAATAATGTATAAACTATATACGTATCATCTATTTACCGAATTTTGTAAAGCTAATGAATTGACCAACATTGACATTTTACTAATCTTATTTATATCAGTGAATATATTGCAATATTGCACTAGTGTGACTCTAAATCTAGCAAGACATATCAAGATTTCTCTCATTCCATTTTTCTCTTTGTATTCTTATTCCTCTTTTTTTATTAGTTTTATCTTTCATATTCGTCCTATCACTGTCATCTAATATTATCTCATTTATGTCTCTTAATGTAAGATCTATGTATTTGTATTATTATTATAATATTTTATATCATAAAGGGAGCGATTTTCTATGAATAAATCAAAATTAGAATCGTAGAATTGCAGTTTTATCGACAGTTTATAAAGTAATTAATTCATAATAATTCATCTATAATTTATTTTGATATAATTATTTTGTAATATCCTTATGTCAAAAAAATTCCGAACCTCAGGCTTAAAAAACATTAAGTCCAGAATATATTAAAAGTTTCCTAGATATTTGGTATTTAGAAATTAATCCTATAACTAAGTTTTCCTTGCTGAAAGCTTTTATTTATAGGATCAGCGTTAATTTTTATAGAGAAATTTCGCGTTATTTACAATTGCAGTTTTTTGAGTTTGTTTTATTCGATTTTATTTTGGGTCGGAAATATTATTTGGCCCAGAATTTGTTTGACATAGGTGTATGTGTCCGTAAACTATGAAATAGCGCTTCGTTCGAGTCGAATCAACCCAAAATCCGACCCGACTAAAACCAGTAAATAAGTTTTCTTAGTGAAATTTTCGGTCACACCCAAAACCCGGTCCACTCATTTGGAGCACTACTGCGAAAAATGAAATGTATTGATGTTATGATGTGTAAGCATGCAAAATATTATAATATATTGTGTAATACATGCGACGAAGTAAAAACATGAATGAATACCTGCCTTGTATCTTTAAATACGTAGCAATCAATCGACATATTTTATGTAAATCGATGTGCTTAAGTTAAATATATAAATTTATACTTTATGATAAATATTTATTCCTTAGTATTAAGAGTTCCTTTGTATAAGTGCGAGTATCGGTTAAAAAGAAAAGTAAAACAATTTTACAGTAAACTCAAAATTGAATTCAATATATTCTACGTGTCAACAGACTGACTTATAATAAATTTTATACAATAT